CTCTGGGCGGCTATATAAATTGAATAAATAAATTATTTGGCTTTCTATTATCTTGATCACTGCCCGCTGGACCCCCTGCCCAGCCTTGTCCTCCTGGGGCAATCAGAGAGACAGAGTCGCCTCCCATCACTGGCTCCTCTTCCGTTTGGGATCTACTAAAACCCCAACAGGAGGGTGAGGATTCCACTCCAAAGGATCCTTACTTAGCAAGTGTGGCTCCTTGTCCTCCTCTTGTTTGATCTCCACGAAGAGAGGCTTTTGCCATTCACTGGAGGGACCACCGCTCAGTTCAGGGGAAGCAGCACAGCCTTCGGGGAATCCCACCTGAATTCAAAGGAAAGACGGCAAAGATTTCTACCAGCTTAAAACTAAGGGCTTTTGTAAAACACAGAAGGCCTTTACCACCTTAAAAACAAGGCATAGAGCAGAAGAGGAAAGAGAAGAACCAGGTAAAATAGATAACAACAACAATATATTATTATTAGTTATTAAATTTATATGTCGCCCGATACCCACTGACTCCGGGTGGTTTACAAATTGTGAAAAACATTTCCAAACAAAGAAACAACACAAAACAAAAAGAACAAGGAAGGCAAGGATGACCAAAAAAATCAGAAATGATAAAAAAATGAATGCACACAACCCAAAGGGGTTTCAGTCACCTTTGCCAAAGGCCTAGGCGAAAAGTCAGGTCTTCAGGGCCTTTCCAAACACCAACAGGATATGGTGGCTGCTCAGATCTTGGGGGAACCTGATTCCAGAGGGCAGGTGTTGCCACAGAGAAGGTGGCTTCCGGGGTCTTGAGAGATGGCACTATTTAATCGAAGGGACCCAGACTGTGCCAACCCTGCAAGATCGGATCAGCTGGACAATGCTATGGGAGACGGGCGGTCCCTCGAGTCACCAGGCCCTGTGCCCTGTAGGGCTTTATAAATAGCAACCAGCTCCTTGAATCACACCCGGAAGCAAACTGGCAACCAGTGCAGTGGAACGCCCTTTTTTCCCTTAGATATGCCTTCTAAGATTTCCCTTAGATAGCTTCAAGACCCCGTGGCAAAAGAATACAGGGAAGGTGAACAATCCATCGAAGACGCCTGCAAGGCCCTGAACACTCCATCAGAAGATGGACTTTTGTTCTGTTGTTTCCCCCATCCTGTTCTCCAGGTGTGTTGGTCCACTGGCTCGGGATCAGGGGAATGGAAATCCAATATAGAATCTGAGGATCCCCAATCCCAGCCCAGCATCTTCTCGACTTCTGCACCCTGGGTCTGGGGCTGAGAGGGAGGGCCTGGTCCAGAGGCCCTGAGGATGCTTGCATGGCTCAAAGCCAGTGTTTCTCAACCTTGGCAGCTTTAAGCTGTGTGGACTTCAACTCCCAGAATTCCCCAGCCAGCAAGGTGGCTGGGGAATTCTGGGAGT